CTTTCCCAACGAGTGGCCTTCCTGAAGTTCAGTGTCACCTGAGCTGTGCATAAAGTGCCGTTTGGATTTTGCATAGCCGTCCAAACGACACAGACTGTGGCCGCCATGCGTGGGGTGTTTTCAGCATAGCCCCTCTCCCCTTCACCTGTTTCTTTTTATGGGGCAGAATGAGAGCAGCCTCGTCTGTGGTTCTGCATCCTCGCAGTCTAAAAGCACACGTTTTCCTCAGCCTCCCACTCGGATTGTTCCTCTATCAGTCGACCCTCTCAGTTTGTATCATAATGTATTAAGCGACAGGTAACTGCTTTTGAATAGTAAATGGAAACATGAATTTTGGGGGTGGGTGGTGGGGCTGTTAGGAAGGTTTCAAATCAAAACCATAGCTTCTGTTTTACAAAAATTTTGCTATCATTGTCTGGGAAGTGTTCTTAAAAACTATTAGTCAAAGAGGCAGCAAAGCTCTGAAGATGCATTACCTGATATTTTTTCTTTGCTGTTGTGTTTTGTATGTAGTTATAAATACTGTAGATTTTTTGTGATTTTTTGCCAAAGTTGTTGTTCTATTTATACATTTTAATGTCTTAAGACAGTTTTTCAATATCACAAAAAAAGAATTTTACTGCATATTTTGCAAAAAGAGCTCACTACCTTTAGCTTGCACATACTTGCAAAATTAATTAAAGAAAAAAAAAGCTTTTTGTTTCTGTTTTTTGTTTGTTTGTTTTAAAGGGGATTTTGTAAAATATCCATATAAATAATGTATTTATCTTTGGAATTTGTACATTGCTTTTTATCCCCTACCAAGTTTATTTTATTGTGTATGTTTGCTATGTGAAAAGTGCTGATTTGTTTGGTCATTCACCGTTGTATTAGCTGTTTAAATGTGATTTAAAAACATTTCATTTATAGGTTTTTTTTAGTATTGTTTAAAACCATGCTTCCATTTTTTTTTTAATTTCCACCCAAAAGCCATTGTCTATTTTTGTATTATTTGTAAGTTAAGAAGTTTTTTCCAATATATGGCAAAAAGTAGCATATTATTCTTGTAGCATTTAGTTATGTAGATTTAAAAAAAAAAATGTATCCTTTGCTTTTGAGGCTTAACAAAAACTAATGCTGTTTTACTCTATTAATATGCATGGGATTTCTCCTCTTTGGAGTGACGCATTTTTGTGCATTAAATATGGGGAGAAACTTCATAGAACTCAATGAAAATACTTTCTTTCTTAAGTCTGCTTGTATATTTCTCTGTCTTTCACATAAATATAAACCAGCAGATTGGATGCCTTAACAATGCAAATCATACTCATTTCACTTGTACATTGTACTGTGCACCAGAACTGTCAATCATCACTAACATTCTAAGAAAAAAAAAAAAAAAAAGAATTGAAAAGCACAAAAGAACTGTTTTGTTACCTTAAAACAATATAACTTTTTTCTAGTCAAGCAAGAAATCATTTACAACGATGCTGCAACTGTGCATGCTTCCTGTATGAATTTTGCAATGGTTTTCACTAGAATGTCACAGTGTGATCTTTGGGGGGAAGGGAAGAAAACAGGATTTTTTTTTTCATGGTGAGAAAATAAAAGAAGAGAAAACTGGAAAATGTGAGAGACATCAGTTTATTGCTTCTGTGTATTCCAAGCGATTATTCTAATTCACATAGTAAGCAACAGCACGACAATGTAATCAAATTTAAAGCCATATTTTGTCCAGTGACACCATCAATTACTCTTGTAGAGCTCCACTCAAAGTCATAGCGATTTTGACACCAGTGTTAGCCATCGATGTTTGTAGTCTTCTACGCCAGTGTCCAAAGATCCTTTGACAATGTGCATAATTTTGTTTTGTTGCAGCTATTTATTGTGATCTGATGAATGGGAATTTCTAAAAATCTCCCCTGCACCACCTTATCTTTTACAAAGTAAAAGATGCAGCTGTTTACAGAATATGGCTTTAAGTGGAAACATTCAGATTTCAGTTTTAACAAGGTGAAGCTTCACAATGACTGGATTGCATAAAGTATGCCTATTTCCTCACAGTTGTACTAGGATGCAGCTAAAATGAAGTCATCTCTGAAACTACTAACCTTTCACCTTCTTATCTAAATCTTTTTGAATAGACACACACACTGTACAGTTCTATTGTTAGAGAAACTAACTACTGTAGAGATTGTTATAATTTTTTTGCAGAAATTCAAGCTGTAAAAACTTTTCAACTTTCACAATATTTAATTAAAGTTACTTCCTGTCTGTGAATACAGCTCCTAGTTGTGTGTTTATTTTTCTGCTTCTGCTAGCTCATGCATGAGAAAAAATAAAATACAGAAGCCAGAGGCTACTGAATTGTCTTTCTGAAATTAAGGAGAAGCAGAAATTCATGGAATTATACAGTGGAACATGGCGAATGCTGGTGCACTGAAACTCATCTTCCTCTGTCATTAATAGATTTCAAAGGATCCTCACTCATAATGCTGAATGTTCATCCTGTTATTATTACTTCCATTATTTTAGGCTATTGATTGCCTGAAGGGCCAACGTGTTTTTCTTGCGGATTTCAGGAGTGTATCTAGCTTTATGTACCCAGTTGCAAAAAGCTGTCTCTCTAAACACAGTGATCATAAAGTACAAGACAAAGGCGTACTAGATCCAGTGCCAGAGACCCAGGGAGATTTGTTTTCATCTTGATATTAAAGTCGATGGCAACACATGGTCTTAAGTGACCTGCTCAAGGCCAGCTCCAAGAACTGCATCAAAGCAGGTTGAGCTGTAAGTAGCTCCTTGACTTGACCATGAGGCTCCTATAAAGTGTTTCCATTCTTCTATCCTTCCTAAATGACAAGTCCATCAGCTGCTAAATTGGTTCGAGGCATTTTCATTTCATTCTGTACTCTTCTGGCAGGAGAGGACCGTAAAGAGCTTTACCTCTGGCACGTGGAAAGTTGATATAATGGCACTTAACTGGGCCTGAAGGGTGGCTGTTGTACAGAAGACCTGTATGGGGACAATCAAAAACCTTTAAACACCTCACCTAATGCAAGGCTGCAAGCATTTCCAAGATAGGAATAGGGACATTGGGGTTGCAGTTTAAATTAAAGCTTACTTTAAAAAATTAAATTTGGTGAAAACATAGGCAACTGGAAGTGGCTTCTTGCAATGTAAAGTCTTGGATGTCTCTTAAATGTTAGCAGATCCACTCCAGCAGTTGTTAAAGAGATCTGTTGGCAAAGTCAGACCCCAAATGTGTTTATGCTGTCAGCACAAGAGATCTGTTTCTTCTGCCTGAGATAATTCTCCTGGTTCTTTTACAAATGGTGTGAATATTGGCAGCTCTCACTGCAGCCGAGGGCTCTATGAGTGCTCAGCTCACTAGGAAGATGCTGGGTCACATGTAGCCGAAAAGCAGTCTCAAAGATTAAATATAATATTAGGCAACCTGTTCTAGGTGCAGCAGAACCAGAGCTCTGCTTCGGCCTTTTGGATCCAATGAGAATGTTTTTGTCTGAAATTTAATTTCAGCCACATTAAAAAGAAGAGGGAGGTGAGGGAGATAAGATAGCATGAACCATCAGGCTTCTAGTTCAGACAGGTGCTGAAGGAGAGGCTACTAGTCAGCCCCAGTGATGTTCATCTGATGATCCCAACTGGGATCACCTGGGTGACAGTACTGTATTAGATGCTGAATTGCTTTTTTGGTGCCACAAAAAAATCCTCCAAAGCCCAAACCATGTGAGGACCAGTTGCAGGGTGCACATTCAGGTATGGCTGCAGTGAGACACGTATCCCATGATGGCTCATATGCTAAAAGGGAGAGGAGTGTCTTCTGTCATCGCACAGAGAACATGCAGGCATGGGGGTTTAGGGGAAGGTGTATGAGGGCATAGATTATGGCTGCTCTCTAAACTGGTGGCTTCTTTAATTTTTCAGCAACCATAGTAGTCATTTTGACTGAATAGTTTGAATCTGGCGGTGGGATTGGTTGTATTTTTGTATGGGCATGCCTCTAATTTTTTATTTAGTTTAAAGAAACCTCAGCAAAATGAACTACCTTCCCTGCTGGTTTCCTGGCCTTGTCTGTGTGTCTGCTTATTCCCTTTAGAGTCTTCTCTACAGGCTCTTGCCAGAGCTTCTCCATGTAATAATTTACATAACTCTGCTTAGCATCAGAGCCCATGTATCTTCTGCCACTCCATGGGTTAGCTGAAGACCC